GGTTATTATGTATGACACCTCTATTAGGTTTTACCTTAAATTGTCCTTGGGCAGACACACACACCGTTAATATTGGGTATTTTATTGGGTTGATGTGATGCCAAGCATCGAGCCTCAAAAGTTTAACATTGTTCAACTGTTGATGCCGATAGATGCTCGTGATGCTTGCAAAGCCATGCCATGCTCCCCACAATGCAGTTCGGCGAAGATTAAAAATCTTCTACGTCACCCCATTCAAGTGAATGGGCGAAGCGTTGAAAGCATTTTTCGATGCCTGTAGTGTGGACGGGCCGTGAGTGTGTCTAAACCTCAGTCCTTATTTTAGGTTTCTAGCCACAACCAGGTATGAAAAAACGTGGACTTCAAGACATGGGACAAGTCTCTTCCGGGGTTTAGGACTCGTTTCTGCACCACTCTTTCTCTTCACAGTACAACACAGACAGCGGAGGGATCGTGTTTGTCCACAGGAGCTATAGACCACTGTTTGGAGGTCCCGTACTCATCAGGTTGGAGCGCGGAATACCCCAGGGCCTCCACGGACCTCCTCTTCTGGACCCGATGGAGCAGGATCCTGTAGGTCCCCGTCAGAGGACTCCTGCAGTCTACACACTGATTGTTCTGTAAATGCACCGTCACAATCCCCAGATCTGACAGAGAGCTCTTCACCTCCGCCTCCTCCATGCTCAGAGTCTGGTTCGCCTGGAGGAAATGAGCCGGGGAGAGGGGCAGCGACACATAAGGGGGAGGGTAGTCGATCCCCGTTAGCCACGTACTGTTTAAAATCTGCGTGAGAGTGGAGCGGTCGATAGGCACAGGTCGCAGCATGCCTTTAATCACCAGCTTGCAGGGGTCCGGCACATACGCAGGGATGCTGTAAGCCCCCTGGAGGATGCTGTGCTTCAAACGCCCCATTTTCTCCCCGCAGAAAGGCAGAGTGGCCGTCAGCATGAAGTATAACAGAATACCCAAAGCCCAGACGTCCGAGTAGTATCCGATGTACCCTTTGTCCTTGAAGAGTTCAGGAGCAGCGTACGGAGGGGAGCCGCAGAAGTTAGTGAGCAGTTCGTTAGGCCGGTTCTCCGTGCTGAAGCCGAAGTCTCCCACCTTGATGCAGTGGCTGGTGGTGTAGAAAACATTCTCTGGCTTCAGGTCTCTGTGCACGATGTTGTTGTCGTGCTGAAATGTCAGAGAGAAATGGGAACAAATCTCAGTTTTATGAAATGTTAAACATGTATGGAAAGAGAATGTTGAAAGTCTCTGAAAACATTTAACAACAATCACAGGTGGTTTTTCTTTTTAAAGCACTAGAGGAAATAGATTTTGATTAAATGCTAAAATTATGATTAGTCAGACGGAAATAACAAGTTAATTTCCTCACGTTACTTCAGTACAGGTTTAAGGTACTTTTACTTCATTTATTTACCATACTTTCTAACTTAATATTTTTAAGGGAAATGTACATTGTACCCTCCCTAGTCATATGAGAGTTATATATATATATGATAATAAATTAACTACTCAGATGGTTTCATGTAAAGTATTGTATGTATTTAAAGACCCCCGTGTTAGGAACCAAAGGAAACCAGTATATGAATTAGTTTAAACTAGCTTCCACCAGATATAAGAGTGAAAGTTTGCCATCAGTATCTAAGAATGTCACTTGGACAATTTATATATACATTTGACTGAAAGTCCCTCACTACTTTTTTGTGTTTTCACAGATTTTTACATCAAGTTTACTGAATCTAAGATGGTTGTGTTTTCACATGTTGGAAACTGTTTGTTGTTGACAGTCATCGTTAAATCAGAGAAAAAACAAGATACGTTGTTTTTCTTTCTGAGATTTAAGTGATCAATTATGGGATGTTCTGGGGGTTTATGATGTTGAAACGCTGATTGCAACATCCAGTTGAAGGCCGATTGCGAAACATTTTTTTTGCATTTCATCTCATCTCACTTCAGCTTTCTACATCCACTATTTAAGATAAGATAAGAGGTACTTTACTGATCCCAATTTGTGAAATGTTTGCGTTGCAGCAGCATAAAAACAACAAAACAAAACCAGGCATTGCCCATAAGTAGAAACAAACAATACTAGAATTTAGACATCTGAAAATAGAATTAGAGCAGCATTAAAAAGTAGAAAATATACAGTATGCCGTGAAGATTAAAAATCTATAAACTCTGACAATAAAACACTATTGAAGGGCTTTAGACACAATATAAAGCAGGATATTATTTACAATCAAATTAAAATGTTGTATAATGGAGCAGATAGTTCTCTTCCAGCATCCATATATTTAATATGGAAAAATACATCCCAAAAAATACCTCAACTATTGCATTTCAATAAATATGGTTTCAATAAATACAGTTTAAACATCCACAGACTGATCCTTTGAAATAGTTTCCCTTCATCTGAAATCCCGCTCTCATTCCCCTAAATGATGACTCCACCCTGTGGGTCTTGAACCCCTCAAAGCTCTAGTTTAAAGCTGACTGAGAAACCATTTGTTGCATGCCATCTAATTTCCTTTCAACTTTCTACCTCCACTATTTGAAAATGTATGTAAAAATACCCCCCAACGAATACCCCATAAGTTAATAATTGCATTTCAATAAATATGGTTTAAACATCCACAGACTGATCCTTTGAAATAGTTTCCCTTCATCTGAAATCCCGCTCTCATTCCCCTAAATGATGACTGAGACTGCCAAGGCACACNGAATATGTATGTAAAAATACCCCCCAACGAATACCCCATAAGTCAATAATTGCATTTCAATAAATATGGTTTAAACATCCACAGACTGATCCTTTGAAATAGTTTCCCTTCATCTGAAATCCCGCTCTCATTCCCCTAAATGATGACTCAACCCTGTGAGTCTTGAACCGCTCAAAGCTCCATGGATTTGAGACACAGTGGCCGTTTCTCAATCTCGAGGATTCTGGCTTCCAAGCCAATATTTCAAGGATGCTACGTCATCGAGTGCCGCAGAAGGACTGT